AATACAGGTAAACCCCAACAATCAGAGTAGGAAGAACCTGGCCACAGCAGGAAGGAAAAACTCCCTTCTAACAGCAAAAAACCTCCAGCAGGACCATCCTTAGCTGAGTTCCCCTCTCCTTTGTTTGGAGTTCTGACCTTGATTATACTCAGTTTAGTCTTTAGGGTTTTTAGTCATAGTCTTGTCTCCCTGTTAGGTGTAAGTGATATATCAGAATCAGAATACTTTATTAATCTCTAGGGAATTTATGTATGTTTTATTTTGTTAACCCTTTCAGTTTAGTTTCTCCAGCTGTCTGCACCTGTGCTGTTCCTTGTGTATCTCTGTGTCTTCAGTTTCTCGTCTTCTTTGTTGGTGCGTTTGATATAAAATACTGTGATGCTTCTCGTTAGTTTGTTTTTCTGCTTTCGTGTTTTACCGTTTGGGCTTTGTTTTCCTGGGACTGTCTCCACTCACTCATTCAAAGTACATTTTGTGTTCACGTTGTGCCTCCCAGTGTTCAGGCTGCATTTTGGGTCTAGACCCGCACTCCACCACCACACAAACCTCTGACATCATCGTGTGAAAACAGGGATCCAGAAAAATAAAGACTCTCGCTTACATGCATCAAATCAGCCAATCCAAACATCTTCCAAACTTGTTGTTCCAGTTAGTCGTTGCCGGATATTCCAGACCGGGATAAAATGCTGGGAGTGCTAAAGTTGACTTTGAATTTATTTTAAGATGACGTCCAGCAGTGCTGCTGGTTTTCTGATATTCAATCGGACCTAGAAACAAAGTGATCCTTTCCCAGCATTTGTTCTGTGCACTGAAAAAGTTTGAACGAGCCAGCAGGAGCAGAAACCACCCACAGTTCCTCTCTGTGTCTCACATTTATGAGCAAGGCTTTAGAAAAACTCTGGAACAAACAGAGCGGTCAGTGTAGGTCAGGCAATAAAACTCAACAGCATTATTTCCCACAGGCCACATTTTTCTTTATATGCAATCCATTACCTAAGCTAAAACTTAAGGACGTGAAACTTTATTCGGGTAATATCAGAGTTCACACAGGAGTGGGAATTTCCTGCGTCCCCTCTGAGAGCTGTTCACTCAGCTCTGGGAGCGGCGATAGCAGCGCGACCATTATTTGAAGCGAGCCGGCGAACAGAACCTGACTTTAATTGATTTGCGTTCGTTCCATAATATAAGTCGTGCAGAGTTGAACTGCCGCCTACGCCGTCTGAATGCAACTCACTCGAATTAGCATTGTCCGTGCAGCTGACGTGGAGACGTGAAACTGGATCCCGTGGCTGTGAGGAGACGCACTCTGTCTCCAAACCCAGTGGGAGCAAAGTGAGGCTGGACTGAGCTGCTTTTCCAGGACAGTAATATTCAAGGTGATGGTCAGTGCAGCGGGACCGCCTCAGGCAATGTCTGTATTTACACCCATACACAACTTCATCTACGGCCTGTAAGCTCCGGCTGAGCCCGGCAGGCCTGCTCACACCAGGCCGCTGAGGTTCATAAGTGGCCTGACATCATTAAGACATCAGCGTAAATCCAAAAACTACTCCTGTGTGACGGCACTCTGCTTCTGCTGCTGTCTGCAGCTTCTTTTGGGACCATTTGGTTTTTCACAGCTGTGAGCATCAAAAAACAAAATCCCTTCACTTCTCCACAGACGGCCAGAACAGGAAGTGAGAAAACAGGTGTTTATCAGCATGTCTCAGTTTCACAGCCACATCCATCACGTCCACATCAAAGCACTATTTTAGGTTTTATATGTCTTCCTGCTCCTAAAGACCTCCACCCCATCGCTGTTCATACTACACCCATGTAATTATCTTAGAAAATACAAATAAGAAAACACAGCAATGATTACTGCGGACATTTTTCAGGGAAAATGAGCCAACAGAACTTTTTCTGTAGTTTTCTGTATTCGTGCTGACAGGTTTCTTTCATTTCTTTATCACGTAGAAAAACTGAGCCGTGCTGCTGAAGTTTCACTTCTTTTTCCTACATTCGGACAGCTCAGGGATTAAATGTGCAGCTAAACATCTTTACACTGACACTGTTTCACCCGGCCCGCTGAAGATCATGTTAAAATGGAAGAGCTGAAACGCCCACTCACCCCCAGCTTGCGGCTGCGCATGCGTACGTAGCCCTGCTTGACGATGTCATTGAAGTTGGAGGCCATCTTTGAAGGCCGCAACACTGGAGACCATCCAGATGTTTCCTCCTTCACTTGTTCAGCTTCTGTCACTGACAGTCTGTCTGTCTTTTCTTGGACTTTTCCAAGTAAAAAAACTGAACCTTTTCTTCGCCTGTCCTCTTTCACAAAACTCCCAACATCCTCCTCTCTCCTTCTCGTCTCCTCTGGCTGAGGTTCCTCTCCTTTTTGTCTTCCTTCCTTCTCATTCCTTCATCCTCAGACAGCTCATCTCTCCAGCTGGCATCTCTGAGAAATGGACCGACAGTAAGATGGAAAGAAAGAGGGAGGAGAAATGGATATATGTTCATTATTCATTGAAGAGCGAGGTGCACAACATTAACGTGCATTATTCATGCCGCTGGCACACACTGAACTCTGAGGGGAAGCATGCAGTGGGATTGTGCTGAATGTACAGTTTCCCGTGTGTCTGCTTGGATTTCAGTTTCCCTGTTTGATTGTTTGCGTTTCTGTGTGTGTGTGTGTGTGTGTGTGTGTGTGTGTGTGTGTTGCACAGTGACATAAAGGAAATCAGAGGAGGCAGCTTCTATTAGACGGCGCTGAAACCAGGAAATAGAAAGGTTGGAGCGTTGAGCGTTCTCTAATCAGAGCTCCGTTCGTCAGCCGGCTTCCATCGCGCTACATTTGCATTTCAAACGGCCCGACCTCCTCGTGCTCTCTGTTCAGCAGTCATTATGAGGTGACAGTGTAAACACAGGTCTGCCGTCCTCGGTCGTCTTCATTTGTCCCCGTGAAGCTGATTCAGTGTTAACAGTCACTGCTTCTATGTAAATGTGCAGTTGTACTCTCTGTGCAGCCGCCCACGACTCTGATTTGCTCACTGATTCAAAAACATGTGGTGTTTGATTTCTGCCGGCCAATTCATACTGACATACATATCTGGATATGTATCTGAGATAAAACGAGGCTTTGTGGAGCTCGTTATGTCACATATCATGTCTTTCTCCGTCTCATACTGAACGTGTATGTAAGGAACGACCATCGAGCAGCAAGACTCACGCAGGCAGAGACGAGTTCATATTTGTATTTATCGAAGCTTCAGCTCGCCAGCTTACATGGCAGCTGTGAAGCACAGCAAACCAAAGGGCTCTCTGACTGCTAATTATAAGCCACGCCCACAATCCACAGGGGTGTCTTCACACGCCCTAATAAAGACAATCAGCCACATAAACCTTTATATATTATAATTTAGAATAAAACGATCACCCCAGTCTATTCCTAATCATATCTTTACATTTCAAACATATCGACCTGTCTGCTGTCTGAAACGTGCACGCAGAGCTCTGATGCTCTCTTGGATGGCTGCTGTTTAATCACTTCGTGTTACGGCTGGGATGGCCGCTGTGTTTGTGGACCCAAACTGAAGTTTAACAAAAAGCGATCCTTTATCATGGCTGTCAGAAAAATGTAGGGAGGAGAAACAATGGTGAGAACTAAACTATGACCTAAACTGGTGAAGCTACAGCTAGACATGAAAAAACGTGAACGTGAGCATGAACCTGGAAAAAACGAAACTTGAAAACATGAGATGAAGTCCAGGAAACATGACGACCTGACGCTGAACGGAGGCAGACAGAGGACTTCAATACACAGCCAAGTGGAAACACAGCTGACACAGATGAACACCACAGGGGAAGCAAAAGGAAACACACTGAACATGAAAACACAAGACTTTCAAAATAAAACAGGAAACACGGAGAGATATAAACCGGGACACACAAGCTTGGTACGAAAGACAGAAGGAGGGAGGAAGCATGAGAGAGGAAGGGAGGATACAACACAGGGGACAAGGGAAGAGGGAACGAGACACGATGGGCGTACATGGGTGAACATGACGGGGAGACGGCGAGCTGAGACAACATGGAAACAAATATAACTAAACATCCAATCAGAGCAAAGAATAGCTAATGCTAACTAATAGAAATAAAACATTTCAAACAGGAAGAACTAAAAAGAAAATCACAACCTCAAAAAGCACCACAGTGACAGCGACATGCATTTATTTTAAACGAAGTCTTTGGTGGTTTCTGTGTTAGTGTTTAGATTTGTGTATTTGCAGCATCCAGCTTCCTGTTTGCCGTCTCTTCTCTCAGCTGGGGTCCTTCGTCCTGTCTTACCTGGACAGCTGTGGTCTGCCTGTCTGCCTGCAGTTCTGCTTCCTCCCTCTGATCATCTTTATTGTCTCTCCCTGTATCTCGTTTCCTCAGCTGTCTCTGCTATAAAACAATCATATGAATGTTCCTGTCCCCTCTGTGAGTGCTGCTCTGTGGAGCACTGTGCTCCTCACTGAGTGTTTGTATTATTTTTCACACACAGGATGTGTCAGTCAGTAGTGTCAGCGACACTCAGGACAAAGACAAGCTGACTTCACGGTGTGCTCCAGTTTCAGATGTGACGGCCGTGTGTTTTTCAAATTAACCTGTGACCTCACACGAATGCAGGAGAGCCGGTCTCACATCCAAACCTCGGCTCGGTCTGCGGATGGTTCGGGCGCAGGGGCGGGGAGGTGACGGGGAGGCGATGGGGTGTTTCATCTGCTGAGGCGGTAAACCGAGTGGGAAGCACAGCAGAATCACACACGGACACATCTCCACAGAGCAGACACACTCAGCTCACTCGGTGCTGAAGCTGAGACACAATATAATACACTGCAGCACAAATGTATGCACTCATTCATGCACATGAGCAAACTGATGTGCACGCATGCCTGACTCTGTGTGTGTGTGTGTGTGTGTGTGTGTGTGGGAATGTGTGTTTGCCATCAGGCTGGGAGCAGTGGGGCAGACATTTCCCAGAGGGCTCAGTGGTAAATCTCCCTGACAACAGTGGAACAGAGACATTAAAGTTTAACAAGGGGCTCATTAATACACACACACACACACACACACACACACACACACACACACACACACACACACACACACACACACACACACACAGGCTACAGGTGCATCAGGACAGATGGTAAAAAGCACATAATAAGAACCCTGTGAGCGTGTTAAATAAGTTGATCGTCTTATCAAATAAGACGATCAGCATGAAAGTGGATGCTGGCTGAGGGACCACAGCTCTGAGCTCGCTCTCGCTCTCCTCTTTCCCCTCAGACGGCCCCGCCCCTCCTTGAGCCTGCTTCAGTTTCTTCCTGTTAAAAGAGTTTTTCCTCCGTACTGTTGCCGGGCGCTTGCTCATCATCACCAATCTTTCTGCTCTCCTTGCTTGGAGACCCTGAGGCTGATTCAGAGTCTCGGGTTATCCCAACGATCGTGTCAGGTAGACTGTGCCAACCACCACACCACTGTGCCGCCCTGCACATGCAACGTACAGTACATTAAAGTATTTTTGCTAACAACTACAAATGGAGCTGCTACCAGAACGATCTGAGACAGTCTTGACGGGTTTGTTCACTTCATTGTTTTAAAGGAAAGAATAAAACTGTCCCATCTACACAAACTGTAATGATGCAGAGCTGGGTGGGTTGGATGCTAACAGTGGCACGTCAACAACAAAAGAAATTTATCATTTTCTCACAGATTTAAAATAATTCAGCTTCGGCTCCTTGCGTCTGTTAAACAGGCTCAGGTGATCTCCGAGCCTGAGCCTGCGACAGTCAATATTTTATTGGAGACTGCAGTTGTTCCTGATTTTCATCGTAATTTGATGAAATCTGCAGGCGGTGGAAAGTTCCCGGTGCGCGGCCTCCGGCCTCTTCCCGCACAGAGACGCGTGCGCTCCATCTGGCCTTCCCATCTGAAGCTCGCAGCTCAGCATCCTCCTCTTCAGCCCACTGAAACCAATCAGAGTCTCTGTGGACATCGGAGAGCTGTAATGCTAATGTAAGCCCCACCCTTTATTGTGTTTAATCACCTCGACATGAAAATGATAAGGAAGTCTGTCAGTAATATAAACAAGTCTTTATTTCACCGGGATAATCCACCCAGGATTAATTCCACATCCCAGGAAACTCGTGGATCATTAACATCAAATATTGATTTTTCTACTTCTTAACAGCAAAAACACAAAAGAAAAATTTAATGTTTACAAATGTCTTCACTTTGTGCAAGTTTAATGCTGAGATCGGCGACTGGCTGTGCTTCCTGCAGACGGAAATAAGTCACTTGCACAAAAACCTCACTTTAGATGAACGACATTTAAACAGGAAAATAAGCAGATGAAGATCAGAGGCCAAATATATGTATGAGTAAAGGAACCGTATAGAAATAAATGTCCAACCTTTGCTTCTTTGAGCGTTTTTAAATGTTTTTTTGTTTTCTATGAAATGTATTTATGAGAGAATAAGACTGTAACTTATATGAAACACCGTCTATGATTTTTATGTTTGTTTGTGCTGCGCAGAACATAAAATCTTTCCTGAATATGAAATTTACTGGAGGTCCAACAGGATGAACAGGAAGTCAGACGCCTGAGCTCAGACTACAAAACAACATCTGGGCCCAAAAACTGAAAACCAAAAATGAAATTTTGAATGTGAAGAATATTAAAAACTGATTTTAACCTCGTTTTATACATTTTTAACCTTTGTTTATATTCACTGCATAACTAGAAGTTCATTTCTATTGAATATTTACATCTTAATATTGCTGGAGGACTTCCTGTAATCAGAAGAACAAACAGCGTCCAAACGTGCTTCGCCTGCACCGTCAGCATCAACACATCTGAGCTGTGATCGTTTTTAAAAACACACAGACGCACAAAGAGCCTGTCGAAGCACGCCGGAGATTACGAGCGCCTGACATCGATTCCCTGATGTAGCCTTATTGATTGCACGGTGGCCCTTCCTGCGTGCACGTGTGTGTGCACGTGTGTGTGCATGTGTGTGTGCGTGTGTGTGTGTGTGCACGTGTGTGTGCATGTGTGTGTGCGTGTGTGTGTGCATGTGTGTGTGCATGTGTGTGTGCATGTGTGTGTGTGTGGTATCCTGCAGAAGCCTGCAGCTCTCACATCAACACACCGGCGTGCTCAGGGAGGGAAGCGTTAAAGACCTGAGTATTGTTGTCGAGCAGAGTGTGATGCACTGATGCAGACGCAGCAGCATCTGTCACGACTCGTGTTCAGACTTCTTAGAGTATGTCGGAGGATCTTCACACAGAGAACAACATCAGAGGCTGTCGCTGCACATCAGTACTGAGATTTCTGCTCACTCTGAGAGGACAGCTTCCACTGGCAGACGCTTTCGTGGTCTTTGTGTCAGTCCTTCATCTGCTCCATCG